TCTTACCAAATAATGTATTGTACGAGTGAACTTCTTCAAAAATGTGTAAGACTACATGGGTTTTTTTTTGGTTTAGATGGAAACTTAGTCGTCGAAAGTAAAAATGAATCATTGATTTCGTATTTGTATTGTCAATGTTTGTTTTTAAAATGCACGTACGTCTGTTACTGAACAATCAGGTAAATTATAAAAGGCATATCATACTTTATGTAATACCATTTTGTCGGGGACGTTTTTGGCGAATCTCAAGTCAAATAATAATAAAAAAAAAAAAATTATAAATTAATATACGCAACTTTTGGTCCGTGGTACTGGCCGTAGGTCCATCCGTTTATTAAATGTTCTCCACTAACACAAGAATAAGAAAAAAAAATTGTACTTTTGTGACATGGGACGGTACGTGACGAAAACCAGACGTAAGCGTGATACGAAATAAGCAAAAAACAAGGTTTGGTGACATGTTGTCGGATACTTGTTCAACCTATTATTCATACCTCAATGCACACAACAAAATATTACCCAAAAACAGCATAATATTTTCTGTTTAAAACTATAGTAAATATATTCTATAAGAGACCGTTATTTTATTGTAAATATATGTATATTCAAGATTAATAATATTACTAACATTTTGTTAAAGCTAAGTTAAATAATTTTATGTTTTTTCAAGATTTATAAAAACATTTTGTCTCGTCTGGAAATCGTACAAATTAAAATGCGTTTTTTGATGCGGCGTATCATTGGCTAAAATATATATTAAAAAAAAAAAATGTCCGTACAACATCTATAGAAATATAGTAACAATTACTATTGTGGTTTGCCTAATAGCTTCTACTGTACTAAAAAGGAACCGCCATCCTCTTTTCCGGCGAAGGATTGACGACCGGTCCCGGTTAGGGAATTCGTCAATAAACCGTTTCATGATGGCAGCATTGGGGGGCCTTCATGGACCGTTAAGCTACTTGATGATGAAAGTGGTCAAATCACTTTTAAATAAACGCTTTGCTGAATTTGCTTAACGAATGTGTAGATCGTAGGTAAGTAATAGTAAGTGAGTAAGTAAAGCAAGTCCTGCATGCCACCAGCAGGCTCATTAACTCAATAGAGTGATAGGGTTTGAGTTTTGAAAGGCAGAAGGTACTGTAACGGTCACGTTTAGCTACCCGTTACCCACTCCAGGTAAAAGTGTTATATATATTTATACATAGATTTACTTATTTAATAAACCTGTTTTCGGGTCATCTAATTAAGCCCTATTGTCTATAGTTTTGGCCTAGCCTAGCCAACTAGCCAAACAGACGCATCACAGTACCGCCAAACTTTCAATAGCAGGAAAGGTGGAACGCTTCACCCAACACAAGTGTTGATAGGTTATGGGTGCTTCCATAAGTACTTGTGGAGGAGAGGAATAGCCCGGTGTCCACGATGTGTTTATTTCCAGGACCCGATGGAAAACTGTGGAGAATTTAGTGTTCAACTGCGACCATTGAAACCATTGTAAGACAGAACTTCCAGAGAGTAGTCATGGTGGGCACGATTATAGAAACGAAAGCAAAAGACGGAAGAGAACGGGATCGACTCCTTAGAGGAAGAATGACATTTTAGTGTATAAATTGTAAATAATTGTACAATACAGGGACATATAAATGTTAGCCCCCCACGGGGGTAAAGGGAATTTTACAAAAACCGTATTTATATATATATATATATGTACATATCTAAATAAACGATGGCTAATGAGGGGAAGTCACGTAATCAACGGTTCTCCCTTATTGGTCCTGTATTAAAAAAAAATATATAAATACCTCGATGCGAATCTATTGACAGTAGGTTTAAGCCAGTTAAGTCTAAACCAAGCACAATAAGAAAGTATAATAGTAGTAGTAGTACGATTAAGGTTTATCATCTGTCAATAAAAATATATTGCCATAGTTTTCCATTTATCGTAATAAAAAATGTAATGAAAATATTTTTGTTTCCTGATGGTGCAGATTAAGTACTTGATATTAGTTTATACTGTGATTTGGGGAATTTAAAATTATGTAACATTCAGGCTAAAGACTCACAAAGGTTAAATATGAAATTATCAGCCGATATTTTTGATGATATGTCACAAACCATATCAAGAAAAAAAAGGGATATTGATTACTTATTACTTATTATAATTAAAATTGTCTCTTAATTTATTTAGAAAAGCCATGAATACCTATAAAATATAAGATAAGTACAATATTTTTATTGGTAAAGCCGCATATACATTACAGTTCAGTAGAGTGAACATTCGTTTTACCTAGTTGCGATTTAAAAAAAAAAACTACGTCAATAAATACACATAGGCGGCCCAGAAAAATATGTCTAGATATTTCTGATTCAAGTCACAAGCAATCCAATTTGGAACAGTCAGTTTAAAAGCCGGTCAAATTGATTTTTGTTGTATGAGCTTTTTTTGCTTTAATTTTAGCCATATCGGGTATGTGGTTATGTTCTCCTTTACATTCCGTAACTTCATTTCTCTGTACATGAACACGGCCAGGTTAATAAAACATAATATACATAATATATAACATAAAAGTACATTATATACATATTTACAAAAGTTGTTAAAAATGAGGACCATTTTCTAGCTCAAAAATTCAGGCGTTTAATTATTTCATTATTTGTAGCTTTTTGTATTATGTTTACAGTGATTTCTAAACACACTTTTGTTATTTTATTTTCAAGCTCATTAACATATAATAATGTTTTACTATAAACTTTATTTTGAATACAGTCCCATAAATAAAAATCTAATAGTGTCAAGTCAGTACTTTTCGGTGGCCATTGAATTGACTCACTATGCGTACCCGTTACGTTGCATGTCAGTGCTAGTAATAAATTAACTTTTAAAAACAACTGAAAAACTACCAAAAAAAAAGCAAATAAAATGTTGTTTAATAACGCTGATAAAGATAACAAGCTTGTTACCTAATGCTGGCTAAATTGTATCAAATTCCTCCATATAGCTATTTGAAATGTAATTTAGTTTTACGCACTCTCTGATTTTTTTTTTTTCTGGTATCTTATATTTTCGCTTAAAATTAAATTATTACTAATACCGTGCCCTACATTTACATTTTACTCAATTTTTGTTTCTAACTGGTGAGAAATATTAGTGAATGGGTAATTATAATTTTGAAAAAAATGTTCAACACAACTTAAAATACCTATGCAACGCTTACAAAAAAAGTTAATACTTAGGTAGGTACTGATGACTGGTCAATACGTTATAATTATCTGATTACAAAATAGGTTCCTATGTTTTTTTTTTTTTGGTAATATTTTCAATCTTTGTCATATTTGTGCGGTTTGATTTGAACTGTACTTGGTAAGCAAATAAAATATTTCACAATTTCGAGTAGGTATTAAGAGTGCCGCGGTGTTAAAAGTTGCAACAGTTTTCAAAAAAAAAAATCAAGAAATCGATTTCAGTAGTGTCGAATAACATTTTGATTACAGTTTAATCTAAAATTGAATTAAATCGACTTGCCAATAAAAACACGTAAGTGAATAATAATTGTTAAAAGTTAAAACTATTACTAAATACTAAATAGTAAATAGGTACAGACTGCAGTATACACTAGTAAATAAAGTAAGCAGATATTATTGAGTATTTTAACTTTTAAGGTTAACCGTAGTTCGAGTGCCGACTACTTGTGCGAAATATACGATGACTAAAAAAAAGAGCCCCTTCGTCGTTGGTAACGAAAATGCATGTACTGAAGTGGCTCCAACTTAAAATCTTTATATATTAATAACTTCCCAACGCATTAAGCTAATTAAAAGGTATGAATTTTGATTACTAGATAAAGGCACCATTAATTATAACGACATTAATTTAAAACGCAGTGCATTGGCTCAACACCGTAACCGGCGTAGCTGGGCACCCTCCATTTGAAATCTGCGACCTCCCTTAAAATGCTTTGTAGTGAGGGGCCGTTAGCTTGCCCGGGATAACCAAGTATAGTATTCGGAATCTGGGACCCTGGGAACTAAGGTATCAGGTAAGTTCCAAATGAACATTTCTCTCATCAAAGTAAATTAATTAAATTGAATCCATCTCAATTTTAATAGACGTAGTATATACACGTACAGTACCTAAAAAGGACGACTTATATAATAAGCATGAGTGTATTTCTTTTTTTTTTTGAAATTCAAATTATAAATTAACCTAGTAAACGAAGAGCAACTTCTCCAAGACCGTCGCTGGACTAGAACAAAGTACGTGGTGTTAGCAACGTTGACTATACTATATTACCCACCGGTGTTACCTTCGTAATTTTATGGTCTTGACCCGAGCTAGTGCCTATGTGGTGGTCTACACGAGAGGTGATGATATTTGTGTTTTTCAAAATTATCGATACATAAATAGTGTAGACTTTCTTCTTGGTGAATTCATATAGTAGACTTAAGTGTGTTTAAAATAGTGGAAAAAATATAGTAATAATAGAATTACAAAAGATGAATAAAATAAACATTTAACAAACAAAACGGCAAAACTTAAATAAAACCTTTAAACGTATTTATCAATACACTCAAATACACCTCATACCACAGATATCGATATTACTTTTCTCATTTCTTTTAATGTTTTGATATTACAAACAAATGGTCCGAGAAGTGACAAAATAAGTGTTTAAAAAAAAAAATTAATGACTTAAATTTACAAATATTGAATAATGGTGAAGCAATGTGGACGGATGGGATGGATGGAAGAGGAGTGGTCTCGCCAAAGGACCTAAATAGCCTGTATATTAAGCCAATAGAAATTATGACTGAAAGTAATGGATCAATATATAATATCGAGCAAAGATTTTTAATTATGAAGTAGATTAATTTATTTGACAATTTTGATATTATTGTGGTACGCAAAAAATATTTAAATATAATAAAAGAAGTATTTTATAATTGATGTAATAGTTAGAGCTGTATTATTTATTATAATAAACATGAGAGTATAGAAATTATGTAATTTTTAAAAATGAAGTTAATATGCTTTCCCCAAAAGTCGAATGGTTTTCGTTGTTTACAATATGTAAGATACCGCCACGGTATTTGAATGACATCATGATATTTCCATAGTTACTTATGATACAAGTATCGTCGGCTGAAACAATAGCATCTGTTGAGTATGTGTTCCTATTTGGAAATTTTGAACTATAGAACAATGCTACTATTCGACATTGGTAGAAAAAACCAATATTGTGTTTTTCTGGGTCTAAAAAAAAAGTTTTCAAAAGTAAGCCAAATTTAGCTAGCTGCACTGACAAAAAAATACATAGTTGGACAAATTATAGCTAATCTTATATCCTCACTTAAGAGAAAAAGTGTATTGAATCACAAAATGTAAATTTTACAGGTGAGAAAAAAAAAATATTATATATTATCCGAATATGCATTTTTTCCGCGTAACCATTAGTATTTTTATTAGTTTATTATTTACTGTTTATAATATCGGTTATGAACTCTGATAAAGATACCAAAAACATACGTCTTCGAGCCATTCCAAGAGTAATAACATTTAGGCGATCGTTACCTGAAAATTCAATAAGTGTGTTAAACAAATTATAAGTATTATTGCCAAGTGTTTTTATTATGGAAATGTTGTAACCTCAGTAAACACGCCAAAATTTCAAAATTAAAAATTCAATTATTCAAAAAATACACATTTAACAAACACACAAATCGTTAAAATATGTTTTTATTGGAGTTATACGTGTACATGGTGTCTATTTAAAAAAAAAGTTATTTGAATAATCTATTATTTTTCAACCAAATTTTATTTTATTTGACTAGTATGTTATTTAAATAAAATAACTGCTTAATGACAAACCTATATAGTAATATAGCTAATAACAGTTACAAAAGCTAAGAAACTTCAACGAATAGTAGTTTAATAAATGTCAAAAACTTTTTGTGTTATTTTATTATAATAAGAAGATGTGCAGCAACTACAATTACTGGTATTATTTTACACTTACAATTAATATGCCAATTGAAATAAATATCGGACACAAATTTCGACTAGTGAATACAAGCCATTCTACTAGCTAATATTAGTTTTTATTAAAATAACTAAAAAAAAAAAAAGACTAATTCTTGTTGTTTAATATTCGTATGTTAGATATTAATGGGTCGCTACAACCCTTTTATATCTAAATTTAGAAGTTAAAACATGTATCGTCATACGTGTAAGTTTAAAAGTTCAATGAAAGTACTATTTTGATGCGCTCTGTTGGGGATAAAGTTTTTTAAACGTTAAAATATATAGCGTTTAAATGAACGTAAAGCTGTTGAACAAATATTTGTATTATGTTATGTTTAGTTTATTATTAACTTGTAAATTGACCGTTTTCATTTTAACAGTTTATTCTCATTACGTTACGAAAACCTGGATTGACTTAAAATAAATTCCGAATGACCATCTGGATTTTAAGCGCTATTTATGACTGTCGGATAAAACGTATTTACCAAGAAATGCAGCGTCAATGGGATGAAGGCCTGGAACAAAAACATAAAAATATGCAATACATTTTTATTCGGTTATTGAATATGAGTATTTTATTAGATCTACGTACAACAATAATTTTAAAAATAAGATAACTTAGACCAATTAATTAAGTTAATTTTTTTTTTAATTTACTTTAATTGTTAAATTTATTGAGCAATTATTCAAAAAAGTCAACCTTGCCCAAACACTACACGCTAGAATGTGATTTTATTAAGAAAAAGTACTAGAGTCCTAGGCGTAAATCGTGTAGATATTTATTATCTAATAAGAAAGATATTAATGGTTGCGGCGGCCGATAAGTTTTTACGAATTTTCCATTATTTTATTTATCTTTCATTTTCATTTCATTCACTTACTTTTTTACACTTGTTTATTCAGTGTAAACTTTACGGTTAATTAACAAGAGTACACCTATAGACGGTTAAAACTCATAAAAAACTATATATTAGTAAAGAATTTTGGTTTACATCTTTCTATTGCAAACAACCCTGTTTGTGGTTAAGTAATTTTATTCATCATTTGAGTTAAGTAACTCGTGTTACTCAAGTAACTCATTGTTAATAAAAATGGTCAAAATCGTTCAATTAAAACTCATACAATTAGTTGAACGATAAATTTGAAAAATTGGTATTCACAAATTAAAAGAATTATAGTGCATAAGTTTAAAACTATTTTTCATAACTTTTTTTAAGTAAAACGGTGTGTGAAACACAGTTATTTTTAATTACCCGAAACATTAACTATCAGTTTTGTAAAGGGTATGTGAAAATTTGTTGAATTTTATAACTACCTGAGTCTCTGAGTACTATTCCCTGCAGTCGAGCCTCCAATGCTGTCTCTTTAATTAAAAAAAAAAACACATATTTCATAAAATATGTCTAATATTCTAATGTCTATTGTAATAGCAAAATTGATATGGATATGATTTTTCTCATAATTTAAAAACTAATCTAAAAGCTATTAATATGGAATATGAATTACGGTAAAGATCCATATTTTGAAATTGTAGTCCTGAAATTAAAACGAAAACATTTTACACTTGTGAATAACAAACAACTTTATGGAATTATTTTCAATTATTACCAGATAATGCACACATATAAATCAATCGCTCTGAAATTATGAATACAAAAAAATTATTTTTAAACGATATTAGACTTAATTTCATGTTCTATTATAAATTTAAAGGAGAAAGTCAAGATTTAAAATACACGTTTAATAATAATAAGGATGTCAAATTTACAAATTAATATTGAGTGATTTTAATTAAATATTTTTATCACTCATAAATTTCCATTGATAAGTTGTTTTTGCAATTATTGTATCATTACTTAATCGGTTTGGTTTTAGAATAATAATTACCCATGTCATAATCAAGTCCAACAATTTCTTTTATTTTGTTCCATAGGGTCCCTGAAATAAATAAATAATTGATTGAGTTAAAAAAAAAATCAAATGAAATTTTAATGAGACATAATATGTATAAAAATGTTCTGAATAGATGTACATTTTTAGTTAAACGTGGCCCATTTAACTAGTAATAAACCGTGTTGGAATTTATAGTGTTAATATCTTTATGTATGTATTACCATTGAAATAATGTATTACAATGAGGCGGTCTGTAACAAATTATGTACAAAAACTGTAAGTTTTAAAACTTAAAAAGTATTTTGTTATCAAAAAATGTACTGACTTGTAGCATCCATCTTCGTTCTCGATGCTAAACTATCTGTAAAAAAGTTTTGTTTAGCTTTTTTTAAACGTAAGCCAAGTACCTTGAGTAGGTACTTGTAAAAACGAATCACATACCATAATCTGCCAAAACGTTTACAATAGCACAGAAGAGAAACACATGGATCACTTTCATTTTTGTCTGCAAATAGTAATACAAATTAAAACATATTAAACGGAGTTATTCTTGCAATAAAATCTTAACTTTTATTGCAAATGTCCCCAAGTACATTTTTTAACTCCATGCGGGATTATTTCTTTGTTATTATATTTACCTATTTACATTGGTAAATATTGGCTCTGATGTGAAGATTAAACTTCTGTTGTTATAAACATACAGTTAAAAAATCATGGTTTTCTTACATTGATGCAAAGATCTTTAACCATAAGATACGATTACAGAAAATATTGAAAAACAATTATTGACAAATATATAATAGTTTACAAAGTTATTGCAGTTTCAGGTTACGGTTAAACTGAATATAGTTGTTTTCGATAGAAACTACACAGGTGTAGAGGCCTTATAATTATGTCAAGACGGATTTTTTTTGTTTACATTAAACACTTGATATGTATTCATTCTGGTAGCCTAAGAACTCGAAGTAATGTAGAAAAAGACAAATGACTATTAGGCTAACATTGTTATCATCAAAATTTGTTTAAGCACTCCACGTTAAAAAAACTGTTGTATTTTGCAAATACAATTTTTAAAGTTTTACTATTACTCATTTTTTATGAAAAACAAATGTTTTTTTGACTGTATCTATTTAGTTTTTGAGGGTTCCGACATTGTTTTTGCTGAAGTTTGCTTCTTGAAGGCATGTGATATAGGTTATGCTTACATATTAGTAGTTTCAATTCATTTCATTTTGAGAAGAATCCATTAAAAATTCATTGAAATAATTTATTATGAACAATGTTGTTTATTATAATTTGTTTTTTTTTTTAATATTTATTGTATTTTGTGTTTTTGTGTTTGTGTACAGTTATTACTAGTCTGAGTTTAATTTTAGTGTTTGAAATGATGTTATACTTAGTTGCCTATTTTTTTCATACGTATCACGCGACGGTTCCAAGTGTTCGACGATTTTTTCAAAAAACCTGTTTCTAGAACTAGATCTTGACCTTGATTTTAAATTTGTTGTTTAAGTACTAATTTGATTATTGTTTGGTTATTTTGTGGCGCAATCAGTTGTTACCGAACGACTGACTGATACAGTTGACGATTGGGCCTTTTGTTTTGTGGTTTCTATTTTTTTTAGTTGGTTATTTTGTATGTTTTCTATGATGTTATCGATACTAGTAGATGTTGTTGGGCGTTCTGATGTTGGGTCATGTGATCTAAACTCGTCTTCATTAGTTTTACAGGTTTTTTTGGTAATATTTCTTTTTTTAGCCGTTGTTTAGCGGGCAACGCAACGACTGGAAGTATGGTGCTTTTGTTTGCGGAGAAAACCAGTTATCGAGTCATCTGTTAAGAAGATTCGATAGAATTTGTTATCCTGATTCATTATCATAGACCCTGGTAGTAGATGGAAATCGTCAGGTGATATATTATACCACTGTCTACGAAAACTACATACATTTTCAAATCCTTCTGCTCGAATACTCGCACCGAGGTAGGTAATGGGGTTTTTCAAAATGATATTGAACTTTTTTAATTTGGCTTCGATAACCTAGTTTGATAGTATAGTAGCACATACATTTTACAGGATTATTCTTTTGTCCGGATTAAAATCTTCTAGTTTGGATTGGTTTTTCATGGATGTATATAGTTTCGTGTTTGTCTGTTATTTCATCTACTAGCGTTTTCCTTGTTAAATTATACTTAACCATTCTTTAGAAATTTTCGAGTTAAATTTTATATTTTTTTTGATTTATTAACTGGCTGATTGCTAAAAAATATTCTATTTGTGGTATTTCCTGGTTTGTATATTTCATATTTATTAATATGCCTAGATACGGTTAGATATGTTGGATATACATTTTTCGATGCAGCTGACGTGAATGAGATATAAATTTGTCGTTGGTTTTTGTAGAGGCTTTGTGTTCATTTGGATTTGGTAAAGTATTTATTTATGGCTGATTGAGACGGTTTTAGAAATTTGTTTTGTGTGTTTATGTTATGATATATATTGGAGGTTTTTGTTGAGAGTGAATTACATTAAGTTTACTGATTCCCATTTTGGGAGATTTAAGAGGGGACTTTATCATTTTCCCATTTACTATTTTATTTCGACTAGTTAAATAAAACTAAAAAAAGTCATACCTGATATGAATACAGTTTGTCACTTAGGAACTTATAGATTATACGCAGAAACACTATAAGAAAGACACATCCGACCATATTGAGGTTAATAACGTTCTCGTTACTAATTAGAAGAAACTAATGAAAACACAATGAAAGCATACAATGTTACCATTTTGGAAATTTGATTGTATTAAACTGACTACTTCAATGGTTTTCATATATTACAGTACATAAACCTATTTATATTTTTAAATTGGTTCAATTTAAAATTTCATTTTTTTTCTTCATAAAATGTGATCTCGGTTTTCCACAAAATTATATGTTTCCAACCTTCTACTTACATTATTTAAAATAATTATTCATTTTTGGATGTTTTCAAAGTAACAGACATTTTAAATAAAATGTGCTATAATTGATTGGTAAATTGTTATTTTAGTAAAATTTATTTTTTACTTTATTACTATTTTTTAGAGAAGCATGATTTAAAAAAAGTGTTAAAATTAAGATAAATATACTAAACATTTTTGGCTGGTCGGTAACAAGTTTTGGATAACTATTTTTGAAGTACTTAAATAATAATATGGGTATCCAAAAATTTCTGGTGATAATATTCAGATAGAGCAAAACACTTGTTTAAAAATGACATGTCTTTATGTGTTCAATATGTGAATATATTAGAGATTCTACGTCTGGAGGAGGAGCTAAAATAGTATCATATAAGCAAAAATATGGTATACAACTAAACGAGTGCTGAAAGTCCTACACTACATTACTAAAAAAACAATTTACATCGATTCTAAATACAATAAAATATCATAACGTCATACATTACTTGTATAAGTCTAGCAACATAAAGTATTAAAAAATATTATAATACGTAGATGTCTATTTACAATATGTGTGGTATGGATGAAAACATTAAACACAAACAAAGCAGCAAGAAGCTACAAACAATTTTTTTTTTTTTTGTAACGACTTGCAATGAAATTTGCATCAAAGCGTTTATACCGTTTATTTGAAAGTGGTTTTATCACTTTTATTAATAATAATTCCTGTAGACCTGTGACCTCTCCGTCTCTACTGCTTTAACCCCACTATACTGGCTTACTAGGATAAAATCACTTTCAAATAAACGCTTTGATACTTACTATCCGTACTATGCTATGCGTAGTTAAAACCAGAGTTTTGCATAATTTCAATAAAGGATATCTAAAAGATTATGTAGACATCATATTGTACAAATAAAAATTCTTCGTTTAAAAATATATTCGAATAACTTTAAAAAATATGATTTAAATAGTCTGTAAGTGATTTTTTACACCTTAAGTAGTGTCACCAGTCACCACCTTCACTCAAGCTATGTTAAAAAAAATAGCCATTTTACTTATTGTACATATTACTACAGATTATAAATACTTCCAATAAAAATGTTTTTAAAAAAATGAGATTTTTTAAGGTAATTTTATTTTAAAATATTATTTTGTACACATTTTTAATACATTCTACATTTAGAAAATATATAAGACCAGTAAATACAGGAACACCATTTCGTTTATTACTTACTTAAATAATTGCAATGATAGTTGTACTGACTGCTTCAATGATTTTTTACGACTGTTCGAATGGCTTATATATTGCCGACCGAAACAATAAAATCTAGATTTATTTTGCAGAATTGTTTATGCGAATTTGTTAACAACAGCAACATTAGTCATTTTTCGTTATGAACAACATATTTACATAATTCTGAATCATAATACCAAGAAGAGTATAATATTTTATTTGTGTACTAAATACTAAACCTTACAAAACAGTTCGTGCAAATGGAAACGCAATATTAAAATTACCAGATTCGACTGTTTGTTAACCCAAGAGAAAAATGTAGAATCAAGTTTATATGGGGATTATAGTTAGGAAAACCATTGTAATTTTAATTGTATCCACTTAGATACGAACATTTAATTTATTTGACGTGTTTAATGTTTTATCAATATAAACATGTATATTTTCTGAGCTATTTCAGACAAAATCTGAAATTTTTGCTTCAAATTATACAAAATTTATATTCTGCAAATTGTCAAATTTTTGGTATAAATGCCAACATAGAATCAAATTAGTATTACTATCACTCGAGTACTGTTATTAATGAGTTAATTCGAAGAGTCATTAAATATTCCAAAATATATTTTCAAAGCCACATCTTTTGTCCACCAATATGTTTCGCCTATTATATTCAAAACGGCTGTCTGCTTATGCGAATTGCACAAAATGGCAACAAAGTTGTTGCTGTGATTTTTTAAAAAGGCATGCCGAAAATTGATTAAACCTTGATATTGACCCCTCATGTTCGAGGCTCCGTCGGTTGAATCACGAATTAGATAAAACGAGACGGTGAACTCTGTCATACAGTCTCTCAATTCCTTCGAGTAGCAACTCTATAAATCACAATTGCTAATTTAGTTTGTATTTTGTGGGAGGAGAGGTAAAAGTTGAAAAGTTTACTTCTTTACAGATAAAATTTGAAGAAACAAAAAAAAAACCACACGAGTTTTAAAGTTTGAGCTTTTAATGGCCAAAATTTCGAGTTCAAATTTTTAAGGAATATTTATTTGGTATGCCTCCGTACGTCAGTTGTCTCAAATTTAAATATACCCGTTTCCCAACCCTCTAGGGGGTAGCAAGTTTTTATTTTTTATTTCAAGACCTTAAAGTTGAAATTTTGTCAGTAGTTAGTGTTGTATA